ACACGCACGATCTCCGCAGAGGGTTGCGCGCGCATGGGACAAATCGCACTCTCGCCTGCGTTTGGTGCACTCGACACGCACGATCTCCGCAGAGGGTTGCGCGTCAAGTCTCCAAAACGAGCGTTTCGTACGAGACTTGCTCAAAAACTCACACGTCAAAGTCTGCAAAACGAGCGTTTCGTACGAGACTTCCTCCAAAAGTCAAGCGGAAACACCCATCGGAGCACACACATCACGCAGCCCTGCCAAGCAGTTTCGCGATTCCAGCCCCTCCAAACAACATCCGCTCACATGCCAATCCCAATGGGACAGCGACATTCACCTCTACCACAACTCACAACCTCACGATTCCCTGCGCCTGCCACGAATCTTTCCCCATCCACACGTCTAACGCGCGCAAAGTACTGCGCCTGCCACGAAATGTCACCTCCCTCACACCTCGCAACCTCACGATTCCCTGCGCCTGCCACGAGAATTGCACTTCCACGCTTCAAATCCCGCACGAAGTCCTGCGCCTGCCACGAAAAGTGACAATATCATCGCATGTGAGCTTCAACAAAATTTGCACCACACCACACGTTTGGAATGATTTCGACCCGTTCAGAGCACACTCCCATCCATCAAGATCGCCATTTCAGCTGAGACTTGTCACGAAAACAGAGCTTCGATGCCACACCCTGAAACGCAAATCCCAAAGGCACGGCCACATCCAACACCCCAAAAACACGACTCTCCAAACGCTAATCCCAATGGAACTGCGCCGTAATCTGCGGATCTCACAAAACGCTGCGCCTGTGCAGCGAAGTGCATCACGCTTCTTGCGCGACATGTCCGTGTCACGCAAATCACAATGGACTAGCGGCGCAAACTGACACGTGACACATCCATGCAAAGTCACTTGCAAAAGCTTCCCCCAATGGCAGCAAATTTGAGACGCGACGACGACGACAGACGACCACAGACGACGACAAACGACGAGAGACGACGACAGACGACGAGAGACGACGACACGACGCAAGCCACGCGAACACAGCTCCAACCCCCAGACCCCCAACTATAAACGGGAACCCTTCGCTACGCATTCGGGAATAACTGTAGAGCACAGTGTTTTTGCTCATGTTTTGCATGGAACATATTTTTTGCAGGAGCAAGCCAAGTCTAAGCAGGGAATCTTAATGGGATACAACAGCTGAACTGAACAATAGAACACTAAGTTAACAAACAAACCATATGTTTAAACATGTGCTGGGTGGGGTGCGAAAACTCCCGCCCACTAAACTGTTCAGGGTGTGGGAATAATAAGTTTTTTCTGTTCGACCAGTATCATCATCGCCTGTGTATGGCTGTATTTGTGGAAATGACTACACTCTTTCATTTGCACAATATTCTTGTTCCGTAGAGAACCAAGCAACCTTGAGCGGACCTGCACCAAAGAAAATGTGGAAATTCTTTCATCACTTTCAACGGCTTTCATCTTGTGGAGCCGACTCGAAACCAATTATTTTGCACACTGTGTTGGAGGGCCAACTTGCAAGCTCGAGTGCATGTGTATCCGCCACTGACAGATCCTTGGCTTGGACGAACTTTAGATCACAGTTCCGCCATATTCCCGTTTGCTGTTTGTGAGGTGCTCCAGTCAATTTTGTTTGGTTTGCTGTGGATCTCTTGAGTCACAGAGTTTTTGGTGTATCGTTATGGTTTGTGTCAAACTATGGGTTCACATGACATTCACTGTGAACCAACGTGAAGCATATTTCGGGCTTCAACGTTTATAATCAATTAGCACAAACACAGTGGCTCTAACAGACCCACCTCAACCGTGCGTACATCACTTTCAGCGTTTTGAGCACCATGTGTCAGGCAATTTGGGATGACAATATGCAATGTTTGATGAGTGCTTTCAATCCTTACGTTTGTTTGTCTAGCATGTTGTGTGTGCATTTTTCCTACAGCACCTCCAAATGTTGCCATGGCTCGAGATCTACACACATAAAACATAAACATGCAAAGGTATGGAAACCAAACATGCATGTTGGGGTAATTGCAACTCTCATCAAGGCTTGCCATGTGCACATTGAAACACCAATCAGCACGTGGCCGAGACTGATTGACAGACCAAACCATTCCCAGCACCAACTCTCTAAACTCCATTTCAATGGACTCATCAAGGTTTTTCAACGAAGAGAAAGGGTTTCCTGGCTTCGAGCCTGTGTTGCGCAGACAAATAGCCCACGCTGAGCCGTGCTGCTCGCGTCACTTGTGGCCCGCGGGGCAGCACTTGATGGACCGATTTCGCTATGCATGGCGTCTTTAGCTTCTGAGTGGCAAGAATGTTTGGGCAAGATACGCAAATTCTTGTTCTGTCAAACGAAGGGGCCCGGAGGGATGATGTGCTGTTCTTTCAGAGCACTTTTGTGCAAAACCACGTGCACGTTTGCGCAAGAGCATGTTGTCCTTTTCAAACTCTCAGGAAGCATGCGTTGGCTACTAGTAGCTGGTATATGCAGAGCAGTTCCAGTCACAAGTTTCAATAGAAAAGGAACATTTTGTAAACCTACTGCAGTGAGGAGATGATTAGGCCATACGAAGCTGAGCATACAACGAGGTCGTTGAAGGGTGGACATGTCGACATATGTTGTCGTGTGATGAGGTTTTCATGCTCCGATGCCTTTGCCTCTCGTATCTCACGAACCTTGTTTGCTCAGTGGACTGCTCTGCCCAGCCTCCAGTGCAAAGAGCCTCGAAGGGGCGTCCTGTGAAGCTCACAGGGCTTTCCATCAGCAACTTGGACAAGTTATTCTTGAGTAGTAAGTAGCACTCTTGAAGGGTACAAGATATGGCCTTTAAGTTAGCCTCATGGTGTTGGGGCGAGGCTTTGCTCATGTTAGCAGCACTTTTTTGACACTCAAAGAGCCAGAAAAGTTCCAGGCAGTGGACAATCTCTTCCTGTTTCGAAACAAAGCCAATGACATGTAGAAGTGATGGGAATCCTTTTTGCTTGCGTAGTCCTCCCGACAAACCATAAGAAGCTGAAGCCAACTCCAGTAGCGAAAGATCAGACTTCGCAGTTGTCACTCCTCAGAAACTTCACAGCACAGCTTGAGCCAGTTCGTCTTCTGGCCATGTCGCTGCATACTTTGAGTAGTCAAGAGCTCGTGGCAAGCTAGTTGGCACCTTTCCTTGGCATCCCCGAACAGAACACTTCTTACCTTCGCCAAGTGCCTAATCCTTCGCCAAGCTAGTTGAGGTCATGAGATCTCTGAAGAGGAGCTGGACCTCAGCATCCAGGTGTCCCATGGGACTGCCAGGTAAGAGTGGATCCTTCTTGTAGCAAATAAGGGTCTGAACTACAGGTTGGCTGGGTCAAGATGCAGATAGCTAAGATCAAAGTATATCTATGTATACCCAGGAAGTCCAAAGAATATATTTTCCCTGAGTGAAGTAAAGGAAATTCCCTTTCAGATCCCATAAAGACAATTCTTTGTATAGTCTTTGACTTGCAGGGTGTACATATATATATATATACACATGTGTATGTACATATACATATACATATATATATATATGCCTCTCTATCATGAGCATCTGAGCACGCACTTGCTCTAGTTTCTCGGCTCGAGACGGGCCGCGGATGCACTGGGCTGCTGTCGTGGACCTGGTGCGCGAGCTCAGGTTCTGGGTGCCGACGAGCGCCTCGTGCAGCTGTCCGTGGGGCTGGCTGCTGCTGGCCATCGTCTTGGCCTTCACCCTGGGCTGCTGCTGTGGAGGCTGCCTGGCTTCCTGCTTCATCTCCCCGGCCTGCCGCCGCGGAGTGAGGCTGGCTTCCTCCTTGCTGCTCAACCTCTGGGTGGAACCAGAGCTTCACGACCAGGGCCTGCAGCTGAGGCGGAGGTTCAGCCAGTACAGGGTGCACGGTGCATGAGCGCCCAGGAGGTGTCAGAGCTCACGGTGACCTTCGGAGGGCTCAACATCCGGATCTGAAGGGAGGCTCCGGAAGCTGGACAGACTGGTGATACGGAGAGCATTGGCTCCTTCTCCGTGGTGGAGGCCCCTGGTACAGGTGCACTTGCAGCCCCATCCGGGGCCCTCAGTTCTCCTGCTGGAGAACTTGCTGCGCTGGGTGCCACCAGCATCTCTACAGCCGGCTGCGCGGCTCGCCTGGTGGTTGGTCGCCTGCAGCCAGAATCGGCAGGGCATTGCGGTGTGGGCTTGTGGCACGAGCCAAACTCGGCTTTCAGCGTAGTCCTGCAGTGACTGCCTGTGACAGCCCTCTCCCCAATCGCATCTACATAGTCCTTCGAGGGGCTCCTGGACATCCAGCAGGGTGGACTGATCATTACGCCACCTTCCGGAACTCGGTGACGGGTTCTTTGGGTCGCCAACACGCAGACGCCGTCTGCGAGGGGTTTGCTTCGCGAGCTGAGGGCCAAGCCTATTGCTTCGGAGCAGAGAGAGTATGGCCGCCGCCTCTGCGGCGTCTGGATTGAACGAAGATGCATTGAGGGCCTTGTATGGGGCCCGAGCGCCCGGACGAGCGCTCTCAAGTCTTTTCCTCCGACTCCCGGCCCGCGAGGACGGTACAGTTTTGCGAGCGCAATGCACTTTGATCAAGCTCCGGTTCGGGGGCTTCATGATCGCAGCTCCAGACACAGAAGAGGTTGCTCATCTCCTACAAGACCAAGAGGTCGAGCTGGAAGGTGGCGAGACCGCGAACGACGCCGGGAGAACTCACTTGTCCTGGCTTCTGACGTCACACCCGGAGCCAAACTATGCCCTGACTCAGAAGAACAAGATGAGGACGGGTGTGGTTCCGTTCACACGCCTGGGCCAGCCCAGTTGGATCTCAGCCAACGTGGCTTACTTGAAGGACCTCGACTTCATCGAGGGTCGCATCAAGGCCACCGGCCAGACAAGCAGTCCGACACCGGCGACCAAAGAGGTGTCAGAGGATCCAAAGTCTCGCAAGCCCTGGAAGAAGAAGAAGGGGAAAGACGAGGCTGGCTCGACCACCGCGAGCTGAAGACTGGGAATGGAAGGTCCCCGCGCCAGCGGCCATCGCAGCGTACCCCTTTGCCGAGCTCCTGTTCCTCAGAGCAGCGGGATTGTCTCCCGACTGCTTCTTTCGGTCTTTCGGTCGGGGGGGAAACTGTGGTGAGCCGACGGCCAAGGCGGGAGCACACCTAAAGAGGGATCCCAGTCAGAGTCGAGGACTGCCTCAGGGGGAAGGTCAGGAGAGCTCTCTTCTGCCCGATTTTGGCGACCCGACCAACGGGGTCGCTTTCCCTGAGGGAATTCAATGCAGTGAGTTTTTCAATGCCGCGCTGCAAGTCGCGGCGCACCAAGGACCTTTTGCTGCCTTCCTTAAGCGCAGCTTGGTGCCTATCCGCGCTGATGCCGGACCTGCTGCCAGGTCCGATCTGTGGCCTTGTCCCCCCCCATGCTGGGGGCGTTGGACACCGCTCGAGAAGTTGTCTCCCCGGCGGAGGAAGAAGCATCGCTTCCTTCGCGTCCGAGCACGAGCCCTGCAGCACTTGGTGGTGGCGCTCAACTGGCTGACGCTGGGACAGACCATGTTTCCGCCTGAGAGTGCACGCAGAGGTTTTCCTATGAGCCAACCTCAGTTGGACATGTTGGAATCTTGAGGAGCTCGTTGATCATTTCTTACGAGCTGAAGCTGTTTCAATGGAGAGCCTGGGCCGTGCAGGAGAGAAACAGTTATGCTTTTCAATTAAGTCATCAATCCCTGAAGTTTGACTTTCAGGATTTGCAAGGTTTTTTGGATGTTTTGCGTAAGTCATTCGATAGCTACTCTAGTGTTGAACGACTGCAGGACAGTTCACCTGAAGATGCCATGTCCGGGCTTTCCTCCGTAGAGACTAGTTTAGAGCCTCAGGTCAGGATGCCAATGCAAACCACATCAACCCTCCAAGTTCAAGCTTCCCGCATCAAATGGAAGTTAGCTCCCTCCTTCGATCCTAGTCCCTTTTTGACAGACCCTGTGGTCAAGGAAGCATTTAGGAACCCAGATTTCCTTCGTCGTCCTAAAGACACCTGGCCTGCACTCCCGAAAGCCATCGTGCACGCTGACAAGAGCGAGATTCTCGAGTTGGCCGGAAAATGGGACAGTTTGGATGCTTGCAGAGTGATCGAATGTTCGCAAGTCGCATCCATTGAGACGGTGGGTTTATTTTGCGTTCCCAAAGATGCGCAGTGGGATCGGCTCATTTTGAATCCTACGGTGATCAACTCGAGATGTTTTGGGTATTCAGCATTCACCAAGACACTTGCCCCTGGGTATTTGATCACATCCATTCAATTGCCACGCTTTCATGGCAGTGAGCTCAAGCACTTGCAGTGTTGTGACCCCGCATTGTACAACAAAGATTGTTATGTTTGTTTGGGAACCCTGGCGATGGGGGACGCGTTGGCTGTTGAGATCGCCCAACAAAGCCACATAAATTTGTTGAGGGCCCTAGCTGGCAGCGTGCGACCCGATGAAGCATTGCAATATCGACTACCATGTCCTAGAGGACCTTTTTATGAGTTGCTGACCATTGACGACCACATTGGGCTGCAACGTGTTAAATTGGACCACACCCCGGACTGCTTGCAGCACACTCGAGACAGTGAGGTGTTCAAGGCTTCAGAACTAGCGTACAAGCAAGTTCAGCTCACAGCACACCCTGGTAAACGCCAAAGACAGGTCGACCGGGCTATTGTGTTAGGAGCCGAAGTTGACGGAGTGTTGGGCCGTGTTTCGGCTCCGAGGACACGCATCGCAGCTCTATGTTTCATCACTAGTGTTATTGTCAGAAAAGGCATTATCACTCGCAAGTTGTTGCTAGGCCTCATTGGTTGTTGGACCCATGTTTGCTTATTTCGCAGACCTGTGTTTGCAATCTTTGACAAAGTGTATCATGAGGGTGAACATCTAGCCGACGATGTCGTGTTCAAAATGTCTTCGCAAACCATGACGGAGTTGCTTTTGATGTGCATGTTATCGCCGGTCATGCAAGCAGACTTGAGAGTTGATGTTGCCCCTGCTATCTACATGCTTGACGCATCCCCCTACGGGGGAGGGATTTGCAAGGCTGATTTTCCTCGAGGTGCAGTCTCAGAGTTGTGGCGACACACAGAGCAGAGAGGCTACTATACAAAGCTTCAGCAGGGGGCCGGGTTGGCCTTGCAGGAGTTGGGGATTGAACCTGAGCCTCCTTGTGGACCTGAAGCTGATAGTCATTTGCTCGATTCAAAATACAGTTTTGCTTCTCGTACCAAGACGCCCCAGGACCGCACGATCATCTACGATTGCATCGAGCTGTTCTCGGGGTTTGGCAACTGGTCACGAAGTCACTCTGAAGTAGGTTTGAGAGTGCATCCTGGTGTTGAACGGAGCGCCACGGGCCACGCCTACGGTGATTTGTCCGACAAGGATACATTCTTGACTTTGAGCAAATTAGCTTATCATGGAGCCATCCGTGAGTGGCACGCTGGACCGCCATGTTGGTCGTTCGGCACTTTGCGAAGACCACGACTCAGATCTAAACAACAGCCTGAAGGTTTCGACATGAAAGACCCGGTGACACGGGAACAGACCCTGCTGGCCATTCGGACTGCTTTTCTGCTGACCTTAGCTCTGACTAGCGGATGTTATATTTCCTGTGAACAACCTGGCAGTTCAGTTATGTTTGAACTTCATGCCTTTCAGGTGTTGGTGGGTCTAGGATGTTGGATTACCAAGTTTAGTTTTTGCAGCTTTGGTGCAGGGTTTCAGAAGCCAAGCAAATGGTTGCACAACAAACCTTGGTATTGTGGGCTGGCGGGACCATGTTCGTGTGCTACAAGAACAGGCATTTTACGGTTCGGGGCTCATTTACTAAGGATGCCTTGCAGACCTTTCGACAGCGGTGCACGCCTAGCGTTGTGGAGGTTTATGGCCGAGAGCCACGGCTTGGGGAGGCGGTGAGCAGTTTCTCCGCATCCTACCCTCTCCCTCTGCGTCGTCGCATGGCTCTGGGGAGCGTCGCTGCTCACTCGGAGCGGGACACCGGGCCTCAGGCTGGTGAGTGCTCCACCACAAAAGCCACGGGCATCGAACAGGCCTGGAGATCATGGCATGAGGATCCAGACTGGGTGGAGGACATCTGTGAGAGCCAAACTTTCCGGGAATTGTTCAGATACAAGTTTCAACAGAAAGGGCACATTAATTGTTTGGCATGCAGGGTTTACAAATCATGGTTGAAACACTGTGCTAAAGCTCACCCTCGTTCACGACTAGTTGGACTTTTGGACAGCCGCGTCACCATGGGCGCAGCAGCCAAAGGTCGCAGCAGTTCACGTGCCTTCAGTCGGATCTTGAAGTCCTCTCTGGGCTATATCCTGGGGGGGGACTCTACCCTGGTGCACTCCATTGCCGCTCGGCTTGGAACAGAGCAGATGGTCCATCCAGAGATGGTTCAGTCCCTGGGCCAACCAAGGACGAGCCTCGCTGGATCACCGCGTTGAAGCAGGATGACTTCAGACCGTTTGACTTAATGTTGGAGTCGGCGCGCTGGACTCGTCCGATAGGCCGATGGATCAGGTTGCTGCTTTTGATTGCAGGTGACGTTGAGAGACACCCAGGTCCCGTGCCTTCTGCGCAAAAGAACTTCACCCCTCGAGGGGAGCTGGATTTGATGGGCGGGTTTGCACAAGCGACCTCTTTGCGCATGAGGCGTTGTCTTGAGCTGTTTGGTGCATGGTGTTCCACCGTTGCTGGCATGTCTCTTGAGGAGGTCCTGAAACAAGCAGACACGACCAATCTTGCGCTGCGGGGCTACGGCCTATCGTTGTTCCGGGAGGGTAAACCTCGTTATTTGTTGGTGTACGCCATTACGGCAGTTCAACAAGTGAAGCCGGAATTTCGTAGATTGCTCTCAGGAGCCTGGCAGGTAGATCATAAATGGCAGATCGAAGAACCGGGGCAGTGTCGGGCAGTTTTGAGCGCGCCTGTATTTCGGGCTATTCTTTGTCTTGCATTGTTATGGAGGTGGGACAAGTTCGCAGGAGCTGTGGCATTGGGCTTTGGCGGGATGCTTCATCCCAATGAATTTCTTGCACTCCGCCGCAGAGACCTTGTGTTTCCGCAAGACGCTCTGATGACAGACTCCACCTCCTTGTACGTGTTCGTACGCAACCCAAAAACAGCCCGCTTTGCTCGGCGCCAACATGTCAGAGTTGACGACGAATCTTTGACTCGTTTTATCTTTTGTTTATTCCATCAACTGCAGCTTGATGATGCCATCTTCCCGGCTTCAACCGCTGTATTTCGCAGACAGTGGAATGCATTGTTGGACAAACTTGAGATACCTAGGAGGCAAAGTGATCGTGGAGCCACACCAGGAACATTGCATGGTTCAGGTGCATATACAAGGTGCTGAAATCTCTCGCATTCAATGGCAAGGGCGCTGGTCTCGGTTGCGCACACTTGAATATTACATTCAGGAAGTCGCAGCTCAATTGTTCCTCTTCACTCTTTCCACACGTGCCCGAGATACAATTTCTTTTTTGGAACAGCACCTTACAATTGTTTTGCACGGTCGATTTCCCCAGTTTTTTCATTGATCTTGCAGAGCAGTAAGCAAAAGTTGGAATGGGAGCTTGACAACACACTTTGTTCCACGAGCATTGGCAGCCTGCTTGAGTTCTTTACAGCTTCAGTTGTGGACAACATAGCATGGTTGAACGTTGGCGTCTTCGCTCCCAGACCTGTTAGTGGCCACTAGGTTGCCTTGAAACCAAGGCCAGGGAATCTCAGTGAGTGCGGAAAACAATGGCGACATGATGTATATATATATATATTGTTTTTTCTTTGGAAGCGTTAAGACTAGAGGAAAATGCTGGCAAAAGTGCTTGGCAAAAGTGCTTGGCAAAATTTTTTGTTTTCCCATATCTATTATGCAAAGTGTAATACTGTTATATAATATAATATTGTACTATTGCCAGTAATCCAGTAACTTAGCTAATGTTATGGCCCGGGCTGGGGTGGGCGGGGCGGCCCGGGGGCCGGGGGCGGGGACAAGGGAACCACGAGTGGGGCCGGGCACGGCGGGCGCGCTGTCGGGGTATAGAGACCGAGCAAAACGGAAGCTCGCGGGGAACGACCGGGCACAGGGAGAGCAGTTGGGCGAGGACCACTCGGCGGGCTGAACGAGAATCCCCGTTGAGTCCCCGTTGGGATTGGGGACTCAACGGGGACTCAACGGGGATTCAACGGAAACCCAACAGGGACTCAACGGGGACTCAACGGGGACTCAACGGGGACTCAA